CTCCTCTGGACATGTCCAAACCACTGTCCCTCCTCTGGACATGTCCACACCACTGTCCCTCCTCTGGACATGTCCAAACCATCTGAGTGTGTCCTCTCTAACTTTATCTCCCAGTTGTTCAACCTGTGCTGTACCTCTGATGGTCTCATTCCTGATCTTCTCCATCCTTGTCTCTCCTCAGGAGAACCTCAACATCTTCATTTCTACTTCCAGTTCTGTCTCCTGTCTTTTTGTCCATGTCTCTGTCTCCAGACCATACAACATAACTGGTCTCACCACTGTCTTGTAAACTTTTCTCCATTTCTCCATCACTCCACATGTTCCTGGACGGTGGACCCCAAGTCCTTGAAGTCCTGCACCTTTGTGACCTCTGCTCCTTGGAGCCTCACTGTTCCACCTCCTCCCTCTCATTCACATGGACTCTGTCTTACTACGACTGACCTTCATTCCTCTTCTCTCAGGTGCACACCTCCACATTAATCATCTATCAACACGAGATACATCAGTCTAAATCTCTGGCATGAGAGGCGGCGGGTGATACGAGTTCCTTCCAGAAATGCTAGGCCTTTATTTTGGAAATCTCTTTCCACCTCCGTTCTAAGATTTTTAAAATGTCTTCCGGCACTAAGCTCTCGGCACGTTTCCTCCCACTTTACGATGATAAGAGGACGTCGGGGTGTTTGTAGAGTAAACGTCATGCGTAGGCGTTGGTTCTTCTTTTAGTCTCCCCATGTTCCGGTGGCACTTTCTACCTCCCACGCTGGGATTTCTGAGCCCCGGCGCACGTACCATCGCAAATGCGGCCCCTAACTGGCCTGCGATCCCATCGGCTCGTCTTGGCGCCAGTCATCGAGTTCCTCGTGTCATGGTTTCTCTCCCCCCCCTCGCCGGCTCTGAAGTGTCCACATCAGCAGGTGCAAGGAAACGGTGCAGGTGCTTCTGCAGCGCTAATTACGAGCCAGCAGTGACACGACGAGGAAGTTGCTTCGAAAAGTGATGATGCAAGATTTCAGCCCGTTCTCACGAAATGTTGAGGAGTCATTTAATTGGGAGTTAAACGCAGCTCGTATTTCTACATACCTGCTGCAATTAAGCTATGGAGCCTACATGTCATCAAAGTTCATGTCATGTCTTCAGTCATCTTGGTCTGAGCATCAGCTTGTACGTAATATTTATCTTTGCTTTAGTTATTCCACTTTTACATGTTTTCACATTTATTTTTTATTTTAAAAGTGAACGAACAAGTAATATTTTACCTGCTGAAAAATATTTGTCATACAACCTCAGTTTGGAAAATCCCAACCAGACTGACGAGCCAAGACCAGCTCGAGGACGAACAGGGACTTTTGAGTACTTGGGGTGTCATTAAAATTATTGTAACCGGAGAGGATATTGCTCCTGATCTCTTAACGTTCGGAGTGCGTTCTACTAAATATTTTATCCCTTTGGCTTTGTAAGGCTCGGCACAGCCCTGGTTGGCCCAGGACAGGTCCTCAGCTCCCCACAGCCATGTCGACTTGGCGTGTGAGGGGGATTGCCATACGAGAAAGCTTGTGGCTCATTATTTTGTGACATGGAACAATGGAAAACGTGGAGCTCATTCTATTCCTGTTCATCGTTCTTTCTCTCTTCAAACATTTAAAACCGAACCAGCGAAGGTCGAGTGCTGATGGAAGAAATACGGTGGAAAGGTACAGTGAGGAACATACGTAGTTGAACACCTGTGAACATCACTGTTAATATTTGGTGCGGTCGTCTTTGTTTGCAGTGACAGAGGTCAGATGTTTCCTGTAGTTCTTCACCAGGTTCACTGCAGCAGGACGTTGGACCATTCCTCCACAGATCTTCTCTAGATCATCCAGGTTTCTGGGCTGTCGCTGAGAAACACAGAGTTTGAGCTCCCTCCAAATATTTTCTATAGGGTTTAGGTCTGGAGACTGGCTAGGTCACTCCAGAACCTTGATCTGCTTCTTATGGAGCCACTCCTTGGTTCTCCTGGCTGTGAGCTTCAGGTCATTGTCATGTTGGAAGACCCAGCCACGACTCATCTTCAATGCTCTGAGGTTGTTCCCCAGAATCTCTCACTACATGGCCCCGGTCATCCTCTCCTTAATACAGTGCAGTCGTCCTGTCCCATGTGCAGAAAAACACCCCCAAAGCATGATGCTTCCACCCCCATGCTTCACAGCAGGGGTGGTGTATTTGGGATGGTACTCATCATTCTTTGACCTCCAAACACGGCGAGTGGAATTAAGACCAAAAAGTTCTATTCTGGTCTCATGTGACCACAGAACTTTCTCCCATGACTCCTCTGGATCATCCAAATGGTCCTGGTCAAACTTCAGACGGGCCTGGACGTGTGCTGGTTTAATCAGGGAAACCTTCGTGCCATGCATGATTTAAACTATGACGTCTTAGTGTATTACCCACAGTAACCATGGAAACAGTGGTGCCAGCTCTCTTCAGGTCATGGACCAGCTCCTCCGTGTAGTTCTGGGCTGATTCCTCACCTTTCTTAGGATCATCGATACGCCACGAGGTGAGATGTTGCATGGAGCCCCAGTCCAAGGGAGATTGACAGTCATGTTTAGCTTCTTCCATTTTCTAATAGTTGCTCCAACAGTTGATCTTTTTTCACCAAGCTGCTTGACAGTTGTCCAGTAGCCCTTTCCAGCCTTGTGGAGGTCTACAATGTTGTCTCTGGTGTCTTTGGACAGCTCTTTGGTCTTAGCCATGTTAGTAGTTGGAGTCTTACTGATTGTGTGGGATGGACAGGTGTCTTCATGCAGCTAACCACCTCAAGAAGGTGCTTCTAATTTAGAATAATAAGTGGAGTGGAGGTGGAGTTTTTAGAGGTGGACTAACAGGTCTTTGAGGGACAGAACTGTTGCTGATTGGCAGGTGTTCAAATATTTGCAGCAGTAACACACAAATTAATTATTAAAAAATCATACATTGTGATTTCTGGATTTTTTTACATTCTGTCTCTCACAGTGGACGTGCACCTAAGGTGAACATTTCAGACCCTCCATGATTTCTAAGTGGGAGAACTTGCGACGTCTCAGCGTGTTCAAATGCTTATTGTCCTCTCTGTACACAAGTGTACAAGGCAGTGCCATGCCAAACGCTAGTGGGCCACATGTACAGTAAGACGATGTACTGTAGATTTTCAACTAGCTCGTGTGTATTGCGCGCTGCTAGCTTAGCGTAACGGCAGTGCCAACAGTTTTCGATGACGGGGTAGGGACGGTTTGTTGGGCAGGGCGCTCGGTTCTGTTGACAGGGTGGGGCGCCTTCCTTGGATAATGGTGGGGAGACACTGTTGTGTGTTAGTGGTATGTGCCCAGACTGAGAAGGTGTTTGTTGTTAAATGTAGATTTAAAATGTTAATGTGTTGGACAGAGTGCAAAAAATAAAACGTCTGCTGGTTGATGAGCTCTGTTGCTAACGGATAAATACTCAGATATGGTGGAAACCGTTATCGCCCTTCGTCCAAAGGTCTGAACTGTCCATTTGTCAGTCTTGTCAGAAAAGTAGAACACACACCGGCTGCTAAATGGATCGTTTGCAGAGTTTTGTGGAGGGAAATGGAGGCGTGAAGTGTCCGATCACCTGAAAAGAGCTGCACGCTATCGAACATAAAGCACCAAGTGGACGTTGTTTCCCTCTACACAAGCTGTCCTTTGAAGCGTAGTTTAGCTAACTGACAATATGTACTGGATGCCAGGTCCACTCTCATTTTACTCCCTAATGACGGCTTTTATCTTCCACCGCCAGACACTTTTTATGCCCCTGCTGCCCTTTACGTTTTCAGGCTCGGCCTTTTGTCTGCTGAATCTCATCCAGTGGTAGAGTGCTGAGCCACTCAGACCCCCCCCGGTAGTTTATATAGAATATTTTGAAAGCGCGATCATATAATTTTTAATTAGGAACACAGTCAGTCGCAGTGTTTATGCAGGCGCCGCTTGGTGGAACATCTGAAGGAAGAACATGAAGGCGGCACGAGCTCTGTGCTCCTGCAGTATGATGCTGTTTATGCACTCCATCCTTGACTTTGACGACGTTCGAAACCACTGAAATGCAAATGTTTGTCACTCGCTAAATGGTTCGAAAGCTTTTATGTCGCACCGCACATCTTTTCATCGTAGCGGTTGGGTAAACACGGCGTGAGAATGCCGTCGGAGACTTGGAAGAAGCCAACAATATAAATGTTGGCTCCAGAAAATAAGGCCTTTAGTTTTTTTTGGCTTTCCTTTTGCTTCTTAAGATGCCTTCCCAATAAGACGTGACCCAACTCTGCTCTGTTATCATCTCGCCACAGGCATCGCGACTTTACATCGTTTGTTACGCAACGTCTTGAGACAAAGCATTTATACACGTTTTTTGTAGCCTCACTTCGGAGTCGTCAAACAATTGGCGCGAAAAGGCTGTAGTGGTAAATGGCTACTATTGAGTCAAAATTTGGTGTGGAAGTAGCTGAGCGTCATCCCCAGCACGTATTTTGAGCGCTAAGTAATTACTCAAGATCTTAGTTTAAAATTTAGCCATCATCCATTGGTGTCAACCTTGTCTGTTGGTAAAGTATCTTTTGAACCACCAAATGGAAAAGTATTGGGCGTACTTTTACAACTGATTAATTGTTGGAGCCAACCCAAATCAAGATGGACTGACTCACTTTACAAAACAGGAGTAGTTGTAACTCAGTTAACTGTAAAGATATTGTGTCCACATTTGGTTTTGCACTAGTTGTCACAACAGATACTCCGAATCCTACTGGTTGCGCTGGTTGCTGCTTAATACTTCAGCATTAACGGTCGAGGCCAACCTTGTTTTTCTGTTTGCAAAATATCTCATGGACCACTAAATGGATTTTAATGAAACTTGGAAAGTATATCATGAAGTCTACAACTGATTGTTTTGAAGTCAACAGGATTTAAAACGAACGCCACAACTAAACCAACTGAAAACACACAAAAAGCTTGTAACTGTCAATTTTACAAATATTGAGCTAACATCGGAGCTACGAGTCCTTCACAAAACATACTTGGAGATCCCACTATAGTTTATGTATTTTTTTAGATTTGACCCAACAACTCTCGTATTTTGGCATTAAACGGCGGCAGGCGATAAGCATTCCCTCGAAGAATTCTAGGCCTTGAACCAAATACGTGTTAACGATGCCTTGTAACAAAACAAGTTAACAACTTTGCAAAGCCTCGTTTAAATTAAGATTTCCTACAAGTCCCACTTTTATGATTGACTACATGTTGGTAAAACAAATTCGGAGTCCCTCGGCGCGTCTTGTTTATGAGCCGGTGGGAGCTGCTCCTCAGCGGCAGCGCTTCCCCTGCTGCGATCTCCACTCCCGCCTTAAATACTCCTCGCCAATCACCTTGAGAGCATGCGAGGCACCTTTGATTTATTGTACTGGCTGGGCTGCTTCTCCATCTTCGACCCCGGCTTGTCACAAAGGCGGCTATAATTGGGAGACGCTCGTGACCCACCTAACACAGCAGCCCAGTCGGAGGGAGGAGGGGGGAGGCATCCTGGGGAATTCTCCATCCATCCCTCTTCTTTTTTTGTCTTCCTTTTTCTTTCCCTTCCAGGAAAAGTAGGACACCCAGCAGCACCATTAATTGTTTTGCCCTTTATATCTCAATAACAGGAGAGACGGAGAGGCGAGGACGGACGGAGAACAGAAGGACGCAGCCTCACGGTCTTTGTGCTCTCCTTGCTTGCAGGAGGCCTCGGCCAGTTTTGCGGAGTGGGAGCGACTGATGAAAGGACAGAGGTCAGGGGTGTTGGCTACAGATAACCCCTTCACTGAGGTCATGAGCCTGGTTACTCAGATGTACAAGCAAACGGCTATCGCAAAGGTACTGAGTTTAACTTCAGCTGAACTTGGCATAAAAAGTAAGAAAGTCTTCTCTGCCGACGTCAAACAGCTCATCTTTCAGTTGCTGTTGGTTATTTTATTCAAAGTCTAAAGAAACGAGACATAATTATTTATTTAATTAACAAACGGGTCTTGGTAGCATGCGGAAGAACCATACACAGCCACAACAGCGTGGCAGCACCTGCTGCTCAGCTATGGGATGGCATCCCATTCTTCAACCGGCATTTGTTTCAAGTCGTCCAACGTGGTTGAGTTGGTCGTTCTGGGCCGAGCAGCCGATCCCAGTTGTGTTCACTGAGGTTGAGGCCTCGACTTCAGGCACGTTGTTCCGTCTTCTTCTAAATTCTGGAGGTGTTCTCTGATGATCTCCACTCTGAGGGGGTGATTGTTGTCTTGGAGGATAGAGATCAGCCCCAGACTGTGGAGATATGAGGTTATCACTGGTATCAGAAGCTCAAAACGAGATTCGATGGCAGAATAACCCGTTTGGTATAAGCAGAGAAGATTTGGCAAGTTCCTCATGGGAGGGACCCAAAGACTACTGACGTCAACCCAAAAATGCATTCCCCCCATTCTCCATTTAACGGGAAACGAACCGTCTTTTCAACAAAATAAGATCTATTGTTTAGAAGCATTGCACAACAAACAAACACACCTTTTCTTACTTTGTGCGCTACGTTTACGTGCATCACAAACCTTCCCTTCCTCTGCTGCGCCCAAACGAACAAGGAATCGTTACGTTTGATTTACTGCTATGTTGCAATAACTACATGTTTCTGTTTAAACTTCAACCTACTTACAAAACTTTATAGATAAAATAATTAGCATCCACCAACTAAAATTAGCCTCCTAATTATACCTTTAGTTAACAAAATTTGGTAAACAATTCTGCATTAAAGTTGTTTTTATTTATTTAATAGGAATAAATATTAAGCCTTGTTCACACAATAATAATAGTAATAATAATAAACTAAAAAATCAGGATAGCATTGTTTCGTAAATGTTTTGACCAAGCGAAGTTCGTCTTTCTCTGTTTTCAACATGTTCTTACTGTGGAAGTTATCGCCACCTAGTGGAGAAGCATGGTAACTGTTTTGTTTTTGTTAAAATAGTTTTGCAATTTATTTTTTATTATTTAATTTTTTTTAATGAAAGAAGAAAATATCAAACTATTAAACTTTGGGTGTTCATTGACTCTTGTCTTTCCAGAACTTTATTGAAACCCGAGACGACTGCTTTTTGTCCTAAAGGATTTTTTAAGTCGAGCTTCTGTTAGCTACAATTTTCACCATATGGTTTTGTTATATCAAACATTTTATCAAGAATCTATAACTCACTAATAAGTATAAAAAAATAAACTTCAAACCCTTTTACCTCTAAAATAAATGAACCTGTAAGAAATGGTTAAACTGCCTTGTTTCATTTTAATGTCGAAGGATAAAGGTGAGTTCGTGGCATCATTCTTTGCTCTTGGCTGAGTACTCCGTGATCTCATGGGAAAGCATCGCCATGGTAACGCAGTCTAATGGTCACCAGCGAAAGCACTTAGACAAAGTAGGGAGTTATAACGGAGGTATTATTTAGTTGCGTCCAGCCTGGTATGATTGCACCTTATATCAAAGTTACACACAGCACTAAAATAGCATCTCTGTGACGGTGTTGCCATGGCGACTGGGCCCACTCTCAGCTTAAAGAGATGTTTTTTTTGTTGTTGTTGTTTTAATGAGAGAGGAACAAGCGCTGTGGGAAGGAAGGTGGCTGGACGCGTACAGCGTGAAGACGGCTGGGGTCAGAGCCACTAGAATCTAACATTCATTTCCATTTCCACTCCTTCAGAGGAAAACATCCCCGCCGTAACTCGGCTCCGACCGCCTGATCTTTCCCCACCCTCGCTAATCAGCACTCTTTGAGAACAGGCATTTTCCTCTGTCTCCTATATTTGTAGGTAAATAAAGTGCCATCTGCCATGTTTGAGGGCCGGCGATATTCTCAATTAGCCGAGCTCCCTCCGCCACGAGGAGCGTCGCCCGGAGGTTAACAAAAAACAGAGATAACTTGCAAATCCAATCATGGACACGCTACTCGCTCAGACTGCCTCCGAGCTTGGATCGTATTTGAACTTGGTGTTGTTTACTGATTGGATTTCTGCTCAGTTTAGCCCCAACTCTGGACCTCCTTTCACTACAAAGGTCCCTGCCTCCTCCCCCACCCTTCTTCCCCCTCAAAGCCAATACTGCTGGACCATCTCATTTCCGCTCCCCTCGGCTCTTAGAGTCAGACACACTTTCGCTACTTTCCAAAAAAAAAAAAAAGGCTTGCCATCTTCTTTTTTTGGACCCTCGGGTGGGGTGATAGAGTATATGTCATTCTGAGGAGCTTCACGGACCCTGCCTGCCAGTCCTGCCTGGTGACAGAGCTGCCAAATGCCTTGGGGGTATTTTCGTTGCGTTGCCCGCCAAGCATCTGCTCCCAATTACCCAGAGAGGACGTCTCTGATGCTGGACTTTAAAGGAAGATAACGGGTCCGCTTCAGACAGCTGAGAAGTTTGTGCACTAATTAAACTCAGCGGAAGGAAGCTGGCGAAGCCGAGCCGTCGGTAATGAGAACCCCTCTGATCAGAACAGGGTCGGCAGGCCTGGCGGACAGATTCATTATCGGCCGCATCGGCTAATTACCAGCGAGGTGAAGCAGAGGTTCTTCCTTCAGAGCAGGTGCGATGGCTGTAGAGGTTGTCAGGTGTGCGCAGAGATTTTAGGAGCTGGATTCACGCCGCAGCGAACAAGCCTGTCTTCCAAAAACCGCCTTGTAAGGACTCTGTTGAATTCAAATCAAACCTCAGTATTTCTCACTAGTCGGTGCTATTCTCGGCCGGAGGCTCTCAAATGAGCCGAGTCCGGGTGCTCAAAGACGCGCTCATCCACTGCAGCTTTGCAGAAGTTAGCAGGAAGCGTCACTCAGGTTGACATGATGCATTCAAATACCTTCAGGGGACGGTTAACTCACTCTTTGCTCTCATGGTGCTTACCTTTTTTTAAGATTGTTAGTTTCACACTGTCAATCAAGGTTAAAGTTTTCAGCGTTAAAACAGAAACAAACTAAAATAAAATACACCAGTATTGCTCTTATCTTTTCAAGGCATCGTTACTACCTGACTTCATAAATAAAACCAAACTAACAAGGGAAAAAACTGTCTTGTGGTAAAACAACAAGCAGTTGTGTCAGCAAAAAAAGGTAAATAATTCAACTCGGTTTATTTATATAGCCCTGGAAAAGGGTGGATCGCTGTATTCAGGTCGAGGGTGAGGTTCTGGGGTTCTGTTCACAGTGAGGGAAGAATGGAGCGTGAGGTCGACAGATGGATTGGTGCAGCGTCTGCAGTATTGTGAACTCTGTGCCGGTCCATTGTGGTGAAGAGGAGCTGAGCTGTAAGACAAAGCTCTCTGTTTACTGGTCGGTCTACGTTCCTCCCCTCACCTCTGGTCATGAACTCTGGTAGAGACTGAAAGAATGAGATCGTGGATCCAGGAGGTTGAAATGAGTTTCCTCTGCAGGGTAGCTGGACTCTTCCTTAGAGACAGGCTGAGAAGTTCAGTTATCAGGAGAGACTCAGAACCACCAGTGCTCCTCCACATCCAGAGGAACCAGTTGAGGTGGTTCAAGCATCTGGTAAGGATGCTCCTTGGTTGCCTCCCTAGGGAGGTGCTTCGGGCATGTCTGACTGGGAGGAGACCCAGAGGAAGACCAAGGAGACGCTGGAAAGACTGTCTCTCAGTTGGTCTGGGAACATCTTGGAATCCTCTCAGAAGAGCTGGAAGAGGCTGTGGAGAGAGAAGTCTGGACCTCCCTGCTCAAGATGCTGCCCCTGCGACTTCAGAACAAGCTGAAGATGATGGATGGATGGATGGATGGATGGATGGATGGATTGATTATTTATATAGCACCAAATCACAACAAAGTTGTCTCAGGGACTTTACAGGAACATTCACATAAAAGCCAGTTAGTAAAGTTCTCTATCTAAGAATCCAGCAGACAAGATGAATCTTGGCTTCGTTGCAGTCTCCCATCCTGAGCAAGCACAGTGGAGACAGTGGGAAGAAAAACTCCCTTTAACAGGAAGAAACCTCCAGAAGAACCAGCTCAGTTATATATGATGTAATAACCTGGAGACAGTAATACATGCATTCATTACATCTAGGCTTGATTACTGCAATTCACTCCTGTTTGGTATCAGTCAGACCTCCATTGCACGACTACAACTGGTCCAGAATGCAGCAGCCCCAGTTTTAACCAGTACAGGCAAAAGAGAGCACATTACACCAGTTTTGGCCTCACTGCACTGGTTACTGGTTCACCTTAGAATCCAGTTCAAAATACTCATGTATGTCTACAAATCACTGAACAGTGTTGCCCCCCCCCCCATCTCTCTGATCTGCTACAACCGTATGTCCCACCACACTCCCTGAGGTCAGCGGACCAGTTGCTCCTCACAGTTCCAGGAACTCGTCTTAAGCACAGAGATGACAGGGCCTTCTCTGTAGCAGGACCAAGACTCTGGAACGAGTTACCTCTGCTTGTCAGACAGGCCCCCTCCCTCTCTGTTTTCAAGTCCCGTTTAAAAACTCACTACTATTCAGTAGCTTTCAACACCAGATGATCTGTGTTTGATCCTGTATGCTCCACACTGGTTTGTCATCATTATCTGCATCGTTTTTATGTCTATATTCTGATTTACCTCATTTTGTATTTTGCTTTGTGTGTTACCTGTTGTTCTGTCTGTACAACACTTTGGTTGGTCTTGTTGCTGTTTTAAGTGCTCTATAAATAAAGTGGTATGGTATGATGTCATCAGTATGTTGCTGTTTTCTGTACCGAGGTCTTTTTTTTTTTCCTCCAACTTCCACACGGTCCCGTCTAGGACACAGTGCAAGATATGATTTTTTTTAAACCTCCCCTTCCCTCGTGTTTCTCTTTTCCTTATCTGCAAAGTGCAGCACCTCCCGAGGCCGCAGCCTCAGACACCTCCGTCTCCCCATGTCTGTTTGTGTTTTTGGATGGGCTGTATTGAAATGTAATTTTGTTGTGCTTCGGTGCAATGACTATAAAACTGATTCTGAACAGTATCCAGTCATGCTAGGTTTTAGTCTTGGTTAGCCTAACCAGCATCTTTTCACTTGAGGGTCACAGATGATTCTTATTAGTCTTTTTATGATTCTATATATGAGGGTATGTGTGTGTATAACTCTTGTGAGCTGGATAACTAAAAATAAGCCACATCTAGGCTTTAGAAACCATCCTTTTGAAAATTGGGTTGCCTCGTCAACATCCAAGATGGCCACCTTCATATATTTAAATAAACTGGCCCGCCCCCTGTCTTTTGAGGAAACTGCTTTCTAGTTTTCATATTGCTTAAATTTCAGTATCTATAAATGATTTGGGTGGCTCGTGGGGTGGCCACAAATTAATCAGTGGTGGCTAAGGCCACCGCTCGCCACCATCTGGCTCCACTATTGCACCCGACTGTGAATAAAATTGCTCCCTCCACTTGTCAGGACCAATCACGCTTCAGCACCTCAGACAAACAAACAAACTTACCTCTCTTCTTCTGCAGTGTAACTCCTACCCACTTCAATGTCCCGCACCAAAAACATTAAGGTATACTTGCATTCCCTGGCCAGAAGAACATTCATCTCGACAAAGTCCTTCAGCGACGGGGGACATTGGCGTACCCTTGTTTTTGTCGGCAAACAGAAAATCACGATCCTTAAAGAGACATTGACTGTACTGTAGACGGGACGCCGCAGTTAACAAAAAGTCACCTGGCTGTTCAGGTGTCAGTCGGTGGATTGTCTCGTATCGAGTGCCACCACAATCAAAAGAGCACACACACCGATCATATCGCCGAGTTGTGAGTTATTGATTTGCTCTCACTATCTGCAGGCTGACAAATGCGCCCCATTCACTGTGTGCGCACTCTTCTTAGCGTCCAGATTCCTGGCAGTCAATAGTGAATCGATCAGGCAGAAAGGATGCAGCGGTGATTAATTGACTTCTTTACTGATCTTGCCGCTGTGTGGTCGAGCCGTGAAGTGATGGATTCAGTGGCTCTCTTTCATCTGGGTCTGTTTCTCTGTGTGTGTGGCCAGGCGGGAGCTGTGAAGGACTACATTAAGATGATGCTGGAGGCAGAGCAGCTGAAGTTCCTGGTCTTCGCCCACCACCTCACCATGCTGCAGGCCTGCACCGAAGCCGTCATCGAGGCCAAGGTAACCGGAGCCAGATCACAGCTGCAAGCACTAAAAGGCTCAACGCTGGTGTGAAGAGTGCGTTAATTATGTCCAATATCCAAAAAAATGGAAGAACGTATCAATCTATATTAAGTCCCTGTGTTTTTCCTATACATCTTAATGGTTTCCAGCATTAACGAATGATTTTGCCCTCCGTAGAACACCGGAACAGAGCACGCAATTAACCCGGTCACCCCGCTCAATTGGTTTTGATCCTCCTCTAATCAGACACTCTCTGGTAAAACAACAACCTACTTTTGGTTCTTTAAAGACGATGCCCGCCTGATTACAGGGATACTCCTACAGTTCTGTTGGCCGGTACCGTCGTGAGCATGGATTTCATGGCAACAACATGGGGCTTGCAGGTATTTGTGACCCGTGCTTTGAAACGAGTCGGAATGAGAACAGTCCATGTGCAAAGAAGGTGAAAATATTGCTTTTTGTTGTTGCAGTTGATATTTTCATAAAAATGACACCATCTGCGAGCAAGGCAACTAAAATAGCAAGTAGCCATCCTAGTCTACCATTAAAGCCAATATTTCTTCAGATGTATTCATTTTGATTGCGTGAGCGTTTATGAAACGTTCACACAGTTGTGTTCCATTTTTCTTCTGTACGTTTTCCGGCGCAGTTGTCGTCCCTCAGTTTTCAGTCGCGCTCCACGTTGGGCAGACTTCCTCTGCCAGTGGCCGTTACCTTATTGCCAAGGGCGCCTTTGACACCGTCACGTGGCCTTTGCTCAACAGGAAGGTACTTTGGGCACCAGTAGGGCAACATGCTGGAACTAATTAAGTATTACTACAACGTAACCGAGGAAACTGTAGTATGGAAATGAAAAGATGTTTTGGCTCATTTTTATACACCCGTCAAAGGGCAGATGTGTTGCGGTATAGTTACTTACGCTCATGAACGTTCTCTTTTCCTGCTTGTGATCTGCTCAACAGAATTTTGTACCCATGTCTACCCCTAGTAAGTGTGTTGCTTAACCTTTTCATCACCCTTCAAGGTCAAAGGCTATACTAGGTCTTTGCTTGCCCCGGCGTCTCTATAGATTTCTGTAGTAGAGTTTGTCGACGGGCGTATTTTGACAGCCATCAAGAGGCAGACGTATATAACTTAACTACTTATGCTCGTAAACTTACTCGTCCTGCCCATAGTTTCTGATTTGCTTAAAGAAATAATGAAAAATAGCTAACACCCAAATAACGCTTCCCAATTTCCACAATACAGGAGCGTCCTGGTGCGAGGTCAGCTGCACTGTAAAAATAAACAGTGACGACCTATTTTGGGCTTGGGGCTTGCCATACCAACGCGAGGCAATGCTTCAACGCTTGACCTTCCAACTTAAAGATTACAAAAGGAAACCTTTAAGTGATTTTTAAGCTTATTGTGTGAAAGTTTATGACGCATCCACACTATCAGATAAATTCAAGTTTTTTGTGGTAATATTTGCTAATTTCAGCTTGTTATGCTCCTTTCAGCTTTTTTCTGCTAGTTTCAGCTTTTTCTACCATTTTCAGCTACTAATAAGCTCTTTTTATGCTAATTTTAGTTTTTTTCAACTAATTCCACATTTTTAAGTTCCTTTCAGCTCTTTCCACTTCCTTCTGGTAATTTAAGCTGCTTTCTGACTTTTCAGCTTTTTTATTTTTTCTCTTTCATCCTTTTGAGCTAATTTTCCTAATTTATGTTCTTTCAGTTTTATTCTGCTAACTTGGGCTTGTTCTTCCATTTCAGCAAGATTTCAAGTCAAGTCAACTTTATTGATAGATCACATTTAAAACAGAACCTGTTATCAAAGTGCTTTCAGCATGTTTTCAGCTGATTTCAGCTGTTTTTTAGCTACTTTTCTGCTTTTTAATTTTTTCTAGTTTCATCCTTTTGAGTGAGTTTTTTTAGTTTATGTTCTTTCTGTTTTCTTATGCTAAATTTGGCTTATTTGTCCATTTCAACAAGATTTCAGCACATTTTTTTTGCTAATTTCAGCTGTTTTTTCAGCTACTTTTCAGCTTTTTCCTCTAATTTCATTCTTTTGAGCTCATTTCCTAATTTATGTGTTCTTTTTTCTTTCTTCTGCTAAATTGGACTTGTTCTTCCATTTCAGCAAGATTTCAGCATGTTTTTAGCTCATTTCAGCTGTTTTTTCAGCAAGTTCTTACAAGCGATAAGCATTCACACAGCATTTTTTCAAGAAATGCATTCTCTCTAGTTGCTGTTGCTCATTTCTGCTCCATTAATCGGCGCTGATTCATCCAGTCATCAAGGTGTTTTGCTAACATGTATTGCTTAAAGAACACACACAAACAAACCTGTGGATTTGAAGAATTCTCCTGAGGTTTTCATTTCCTATCAAAGGAAATACTAAACATGCCAAACCCTTTCATATTTCACCCTCGCATCCCTTCTTACCGCAGGTAATTGGCCTCATGGCGCAGGTTTACTCTTTCATTTACAGTCCTGCTGTTTCCTGTCGCCGGCCTGATTTACTTTGACAGGGCAAAGATCTTGAAGCTCGAATGTTGAGCTCAAACTGACAGCAGATGTTGGCGTGCATGAATTATTATTTTTCCTTTTAAGTCTCTTTCAGGTGAGTAATTCAATGAAGGAGTGGTGTTCGGATCATTTCCAAATGTTTTGTGAGGAATCCAGCATCATAGTTTACTTTCTTTCTCAGGAAGTTAAACCCCCCCCCCCCCTCCTCTAAAGCCAGTCCTCAAAGTTTTTCCCCAACTCATTACAAGTAAATGAATTCTCTTCGGCTGGCAGCCAGCAACCTGTGAAACGAGTCAAGTGTGCGTTCGCGTGTGTTGCAGGGGTCGGGGAGTTGTCGTCTGGATGGAAACCGACGGTGCGAGGTGCGATAACACGTTCCTCCTTGAGACGCTCGCTCTCCGGCGTGTTCGCGCTCGCCAATTAACAGAGACGAGCTAAAAACGGATCGGCAAGCGACGCGGGGAGTCGAGACGGGCGGCGCAGACGAGTGATTGCGCTTCAATCACGCGTCGCCGTTTTGTTCGCTCGTTGCCATCCTGTCGCGAGCTGCCGACGTGGCTCGAAGGGTTATTTGTTAAGCTTTTGGGTGAAAATAAAAACACCTCTTAAACTGGATCGCTGGAGGGGTTTATGACATCGAGGTGTTGGACCTCGCATGACACTGAACGTTTTAGCTTTTTTTCCTCATAGAAAACGAATTGAGCTCATTTTCCATCCTTCACATCTTTAGCTCTGTTTACCTTTTACTGCTCCTTTCACATTTTATGCTTCAGCTTCTTTCAGCTGTGTTTTCAGCTGTTTTGTGCTCCTTTCAGATTCTTTCTGCTAGCTACAGCATTTTTGTGCTTCTAACTTTGTTCTGCTAATTTCAGCTTGTTCTGATCCCTTCAACTTACTTCTGCAAGTTTCAGCTTTTTCAACTACTGTTCAGCTGTTTTTATGCTAATTTTAGCTTTTTCAGCTAATTCCACATTTTATGCACTTATTTCTACCTTTTTTAGCCTAATTCAGAAAAATCAGAGTTCTCTCCACTTCCTTCTGCTAATTTAAGCTTATTTCTGCTTTTTAGCTACTTTTCAGCTGTTTTTTTGTGTGTGCACAAATTTCAGCTGTTTTCAGATAATTTATACTTTTTTGTGCTCATTTCTGCTTCTTTCAGCTTAATAGGGCATATGTGTTCTTTCTGCTTTCTTCTGCTAATTTAAGCTTGTTCTAACTTTTCAGCTATATTTTTAGCTCTTTTTATTTTTTTTTTAGCAAATTTCAGCTGTTTTCAGATAAATTCAAGTTTCTCGTGTTAATTTCTGCTACTTTCAGCACAATTAATTTGTTTTTGCTAATTTCACCTTGTTATGCGCCTTTCAGGTTTTTTCCGCTAGTTTCAGCTTTTTTTTTTTTTTTTGCTCTTTCAGCTCCTAATAAGCTTTTTAATGCTAATTTTAGTTTTTTCAACTAATTCCTCATTTTAAGCTGCTTTCAGCTCTTTCCACTTCCTTCTGGTTGGTTAAGCTTCATTTTTCCTTTTCATCTAATTTTTTTTTGTTGCTATTTTCAGCTTATTGTTTTTTAGCTAATTGTTGTGCTAATTTCTGCTTATTTAAAGCTAATTGAGCAAATGTGTGTTCTCTCTGCTTCCTTCTGCTAATTTGGGCTTGCTCTTCCATTTCAGCTACATTTTGTAGCTAATTTCAGCTGTTTTTCATCAAGTTCTTCTGCACCAAGGATTCACACTCTTGAATCTCCTTGACGATCGTGGAGTCACATTTACCTGGATGGTAGATGGACTCTACTTCGATATCACCTTTCTCTCTGATCAAGACACTCAAAGTGCTTTACAACACCACCTGAGCTTTATCACATTCAGACACTCATGGGACACACGTCGGAGACATTTAGGAGCTCAGTGCCTTGCTCAGGGACACTTCAGCATGTGACTGCTGGAGGAATCCAACCCCCAACTCTTGCATTGGAGGACGACTGCTCTAACCACTCGGCCACAGCCGCCCAAACCTGAAAACACGGAAGCAGGTGTAAGAACACGATGTTGGACTGTCGGCCGTTGTGACCCTCCACAGGACTGAGAGACACAAATGTTTTGAAAAAGGTTCCAGTTTTATTCAGAACCGAGGTCACTGGGCTCCTATGGTTCTCTGGTGTGTTCTAAAAGGGTTTCTTTCAGAAATATTTACAGACCAGAATACAGGGTGATATAATACTACTCTCAGTGATTGTCCCACACAAATCTGTGGCAGCTTTTTAGAGACGGACAAACCGTCCCCTTTCATAATCGCATTCAATGGAAGGTGCAGGCAACGGTACGGGTCATATTGTATCCAGGTAGTTCCCCTGTTCTTTTTTCAGAGATATATTAACAAAGGAGTGTTTGCAAATACGGTGCTCAACCTCCCACACATAAAAAGGGTGACTGAAGCCGCCCAAGTATCTCTCTCCCTAATTCAGCAGCTTTGCAACTGCCTGCCAGGAGACAATCATACGACCAGACAAATGCTGGCTAGCTTAATGCTGTTTGCTGCTAACTCATTAACTTAGTTTTAGGCCTGTCACGATAACACATGTTGCTGGGTGATTGTCTCAAATTATTGCGATAAACGATAATATTGTTTGAAATTGTCAATAATTAGTAATTATTGTCAAATTTACGAATAAAGGTTGGTTAATTTGTTTTGTGTGTAGTACCTTTTTTCGACCACTGGATGGCAGTATAAGACTGTTTGAACAGAAGGATGGATAGTGAGGGAGCGAGCAGCGTGTCTCTTTAAGAAAAATGGGAGGGAGGCCTCTTGACGTGACATGGGCTGTCTCTCTTCAGTTCTCAAAATGGCGGACGTTCGGTGTGGTTTGAGCTCTTTAGCATTTTTCACACAAAGCTTTTAATAAAAAGTCAGTAAACAAGTTCTCAGCTTCTTTTTGCAGAGAAAAACAACTTTTTACGCAAAAGCACGGGTTTCAACCGTGAATTCTGGAGCTTCAACAAGACAGAGGTTTTTTCGCGGGGTCGGCCCGTTAGCTTAGCTCGTAGCTTAGCTGCTTTTAACGATCCAAAACGTTCCTAGAACCTCCTTCTTCCACCTGCGTAATATCACTAACATTAGAAACATCTGATCTAAAGATGATGCAGAAAAACTGGTCCATGCATTTGTCACGTCTAGACTGGACTATTGCAATGGTTTATTATCTGGGTGTCCAAATACTTCTTTAAAACGTCTTCAGTTGATCCAACATGCTGCTGCCAGAGTCTTAACTGGAGTTACTGGGAGAGATCATATCTCTCCAGTTTTAGCTTCTCTCCATTGGCTCCCTGTCAAATCCAGAATAGAATTCAAAATCTTACTTCTAACCTACAAAGCTCTCAACAACCTAGCTCCATCTTACATTACAGATCTTATTGTTCCATATTTTACTAACAGAGCACTTCACTCTCAGACTGCAGGTTTACTTGTTGTTCCTAGAGTTTCCAGCAGCAGAATGGGAAGAAGGTCTTCCAGTTCTCAGGCTCCTCTCTTGTGGAACCAATGTCCAGTTTCTGTCCATGAGGCTGACACATTGTCCAGTTTAAGACTTTCCTTTTTGATAAATCCTATAGTTAGGGTCGGCTTGTTCTGCTGCTATAGACTTAGACTACTAGAGGACAAACTGACCTCATTTCTTAAATGAATTGTTAAAATTGAATAGTTTTCATTTGATACTATTTCTATCTTAACATGTGATTCTTGACCTGCCATTGTGTATCTATTCCTACCAAACCCAGCCGGTCGAAGCAGATGGTCCTCTTGTCCTGATCCTGGTTCTGCTAAAGGTTTCTTCCTCATGAGGGAGTTTTTCTTTCCACTGTCGCCTTCATGCTTGTTCAACATGAGAGTTCAGTGATGGAGTTAAACTCAAAGCTGCTCCTCAGATAAATAATGTTCAATTATTATTTTATACATGAATGTTTCTGTTCAATTATTATTTTATAGATGAATGTTTCTGTTAAATTATTATTTTATACATGAATGTTTCTGTTAAATTATTATTTTATAGATGAATGTTTCTGTTCAATTATTATTTTATACATGAATGTTTCTGTTAATTATTATTTTATATTTGAATGTTTCTGTTAAATTATTATTTTATACATGAATGTTTCTGTTAAATTATTATTTTATACATGAATGTTTCTGTTCAATTATTATTTTATACATGAATGTTTCTGTTAAATTATTATTTTATACATGAATGTTTCTGTTCAATTATTATTTTATACATGAATGTTTCTGTTAATTATTATTTTATATTTGAATGTTTCTGTTAAATTATTATTTTATACATGAATGTTTCTGTT